TCACAAAAGGAAACCTGTTAAAAGTCTGTCTCTACATTCCTGCTTGATTGCTGTGAGATTTGGGGTCTTTAATTGCCTCCCGGGAAGAGCCATCAAGTTGATCGCTGCAATAATAAAAAATATATTCCGCCTCGCTTTCAGGAGATTGCAAACTTAAAGGCCAGGTTAATATTGGCTGAAAGAAGACTCTGCTCTGTTTCTGAAAAATGGCAAGACGATATAAAGTCTTAAAATGCATCCGAAAAAAAAGATGGCGGGCTGAACCCGGCTCCTCTTCCGCCCCTTCCCAAGCACGCCTCCATTTCTCAAACAGGAAACTATCATTGCTGCGGAGTCCTTGAACAAACGCTTTCGGGTTGAAACCAACTATGGTCAAAGGGTCACCGAAGACGACGAGGGGTCTAATCGCATCCTACACTCGACGGGCTGCAGCAACACATAGGTCAGAGAAAGCAAAAACAAAATCAAGTCAGTCATCAGATAGCACGCTTTTAGGAAGTAAAGCTATGTTTTTGGAACTTAAGACTTCGACGGAGGCGGGCACCCAAGAAAATAAACAAATTGCTGTATGTCAAGAACAAGTAAATAAATAAATTGGACAATGATCAGAAACTTAGAGGGACCTAAACTAACAAAATCATGCAGGTGTACCATCCCCAACCATAGACCAGGTGCAACAGGAACACATACAGGAGAACGCTAGGCTCTTGGACGAATCTCAATGGATTGTCCTTGACGAATGCACTGGTGACGTCGAGGAGAAGGACAACCCTTTACACCTACACAATTCACACCAACAGGATCACTTTTCTGGGGACCTACACACTACATTGCGCAAAAGGGGCCCTGCCAGTCCTGAAAGTAAACAGGTCTTGGTAGTAGGCGACTCCCTCCTTAGAGGAATGGAAGCCGTCATTTCCAGACCGGATGGGATGGCTCGAGAAATATGCTGCCTACCGGGGGCAAAAATACACCATATCACTCAGAGGCTCACCAGGCTCCTCAAGCCCCATCACCGTCCTCCCCTCATGTTGATTCATGTAGGAACCAATGATACTGCTAGGCATACTTTTCAAAAGATCACAAATGATTTTCGAGCTCTAGGAACAAAGCTAAAGCAATGTAATGTACAGGTGGTCTTTTCATCCCTCCTCCCAGTCATAAAACACGGTCCTACAAGGGCCAGAAAAATAGTACAGGTCAATGACTGGCTTAGAAAATGGTGTCAGGAGGAACGCTTTGGCTTCCTCGACCATGGCCTGCTTTTCCAGGAGGATGGCCTACTGGCAAGGGATGGGGTGCATCTCACACAAGTAGGAAAACACCTTTTTGCTCACAGACTCACAAACCTCATTAGACGCACTTTAAACTAGGTCCACCGGGGGAGGGGGACAACAGCCTTGCGAACACTACTTTACCCATAATGTCTGGGAATCGCCAGAAGGCTAAACGGAGGGCTGCACAAACACAACAAGGACCAAGTACCAAAAGCACAATAATCCCAATTAAACAGCTCAGGGGAAGATCTCAGGGGTTCACATATCTCTACACTAATGCACAGAGCATGGGAAATAAACAAGACGAACTCCAACTTTTAGCACAACACCACAAATATGATATTATAGGCATCACTGAAACCTGGTGCGATGACTCCTATCGCTGGAATGTAGACATCGAGGGCTATAACCTCTTTCACAGAAACCGAACAAAGGGGAGAGGAGACGGAGTAGCCTTATATGTCAAAAAATCTTATGCTGCAGAAGAGATGCAAGACAGCAATCCAGGAAACCAGCTTGAAAGCATCTGGATAAGAATCAAGGGAACTGGGACTCAAAAAGATCTTGTTGTAGATGTCTACTACAGACCTCCAAGTCAGGACGAAGAACTTGATGAAGTCTTCTGCCAACAGTTGACCAAACAGGCACAGAGAAGAGATGTAGTAGTCATGAGCAATTTCAACTATCCTGATATTTGCTGGAAAACAAACTCGGCCAAGAGTACAAAGTCCAACAAATTCCTCGCTTGCCTTGCAGACAATTTCATGGTCCAGAAGGTAGAAGAGGCAACAAGGGGATTGGCTACTCTTGATCTCATCCTAACAAATGCGGAGGACCTGATCGATGCGGTTGAAGTGGTAGGATCCTTAGGGGCAAGTGACCATGTGCTCCTGCAATTTGAGGTACAAAGGAAGGCCGAAACTAAGACAAGTCAAACCCGCATTTTGGACTTTAGGAGAGCTGATTTCCAAAAAATGAAGGAAACACTGAGCAGCATTCCGTGGACACAGATACTAAAAGACAAGGGAGTTACGGATGGATGGGAATTTCTCAAGAGTGAAATACTCAAGGCGCAATTGCAAACCGTGCCAACAAAGAGAAAAAATAGGACAAGTGCAAAGAAGCCAGAATGGATGTCCAAAGAACTTCTAACTGTGCTAAGACACAAAAGAGGCATGCACAAGAAGTGGAAAAAGGGAGAAATCACCAAAGAAGAATTCAAACAAATAGCCAACACCTGTAGGGAAAAGGTCCGCAAGGCTAAAGCACAAAACGAGCTCAGAGCTTGCCAGGGACATTAAAAACAATAAAAAGGGCTTCTTTTCTTATGTCAGTAGAAAAAGGAAAACAAGGAGGCGATAGGACCTCTTCGAGGAGAAGATGGGGCAATGCTAACAGGGGATAGGGAAAAGGCAGAACTACTTAATGCCTTCTTTGCCTCGGTCTTCTCACAAAAAAAGTCATCTTCAACCTCAGCAAGACGGAGTGGATGAGGGATTTGAGGACATCCAACTCCAAATTGGGAAACAAGTTATACAGGACTACTTGGCCGCTCTAAATGAGTCCAAGTCCCCAGGGCCGGATCAACTACACCCAAGAGTATTGAAGAAAGTCATTTCGGAACCATTGGCAACCATCTTTGAGAGTTCTTGGAGAACGGGAGAAGTTCCAGCAGATTGGAGGAGGGACAATGTGGTCCCAATCTTCAAGAAGGGAAAAAAGGATGACCCAAACAATGACCAATGTCCAGTCAGCCTCACATCGATACCGGGCAAGATTCTGGAAAAGATTGTGAAGGAAGTGGTCTGCAAACACTTAGAAACAAATGCGGTCATCGCTAATAGTCAACATGGATTTATCAAAAACAAGTCATGCCAGGCTAATCTGATCTCTTTTTTCGATAGAGTTACAAGCTGGGTAGATGCAGGGAATGATGCCGTGGATGGAGCGTGTCTGGATTTCAGGAAGGCCTTCTTTGACAAGGTCCCCCATGACCTTCTGGCAAGGAAACTAGTCCAATGTGGGCTAGGCAAAACTACGGTGAGGTGGATCTGTAATTGGTTAAATGGACGAACCCAGAGGGTGCTCACCAATGCTTCCTCTTCATCCTGGAAAGAAGTGACGAGTGGAGTGCCACAAGCAGGGTTCTGTCCTGGGCCCGGTCCTGCTCAGGATCTTCATTCATTCATGACTTAGATGAAGGGTTAGAAGGCAGGATCATCAAGTTTGTGGACGAGACCAAATTGGGAGAACCAATACTCCAGAGGACAGGAGCAGGATTCAAAACGATCTTGACAGATTAGAGAGAAGCCTGCCAAAGTGGAGTATCTTACAGTGACAAATGCAAGATACTCCACTTTGGCAGGAAAAACGAAATGCAAAGATACAGAATGGGGATGCCTGGCTCGAGAGCAGTACGTGTGAAAAAGATCTTGGAGTCCTCGTGGACAAGTTAAACATGAGCCAACAATGTGATGCGGCGGCAAAAAAGCCAATGGGATTTTGGCCTGCATCAAGAGGAGCATAGTGTCTAGATCTAAGGGAAGTAATGCTACCCCTCTATTCTGCTTTGTTTAGACCACTTTACCTGGAATATTGTGTCCAATTCTGGGCACCACAATTCAAGAGAGATATTGACAAGCTGGAATGTGTCCAGAGGAGGGCGACTAAAATGATCAAGGGTCTGGAGAACAAGCCCTATGAGGAGCGGCTTAAGGAGCTGGGCATGTTTAGCCTGAAGAAGAGAAGGCGAAAGGAGATATGATAGCCATGTATGAAGGCATACAATGATAAGGCAAGCTTGTTTTCTGCTGCCCTGAAGAATAGGACATGGAACAATGGCTTCAAACTACACAAAAGGAGATTCCATCTGAACATGAGGAAGAACTTCCTGACTGTGAGAGCCGTTCAGCAGTGGAACTCTCTGCCCCGGAGTGTGGTGGAGGCTCCTTCTTTGGAACTTTTAAACAGAGGCTGGATGGCCATCTGTCAGGGGTGATTTGAATGCAATATTCCTGCTTCTTGGCAGAATGGGGTTGGACTGGTGGCCCATGAGGTCTCTTCCAACTCTTTGATTCTATGATTCTATGATTCTATGAAAAGTCCTTGCTTCCCTCAGAGAGGATTATCTCTCAGCTGGATATTGGGCTGGCTTCCTGGATTTTCAACCCCCTATCCCCGCAAGCAGTTTCCCACCCGCATTCCATATAGTTCACATGTTTTGGGGGTGCCCAGTTCTTGTGCATATGTATATGTGAGTCCCCTCCACTGATTGTGCATTAAGAAAGCAAAGATATGCACAAGGATTGTCCTCTAGTGGCAGATTGGAAAAAACAATTATTTCAACACAGTTGTGCATAGTTATCTTAAGAGGAAAGAGGGAGATTCGTCTGAGGACGCAGATAATGGGACCCCTGGAGTCTAATTCCAAATTGCATTTTAAGGAAAGACCTTTTCCTGTTTGCTTTGTCTGATCTGAGGGGTTTTCCCCCTTGCAAACCAGTTTTACAGTTTATCTCATAGGCTTGGTAAATGATTAGATTAATCCTCCCAGGAATGTTTGGGGCTGGGCTGGGGCTTGGGACCCAGCTAAGTTCAGTAAAAGTATGTTATAAATGTATAGTTATTAGTATTAGAGGAGAGTGGTCAATGTTTCAATAACACAAGGGGCATCTTTTCTTCCTCCATCGGGAAGGGAACTGGGACTGTCCAGCTCCCAGGGTTTTACTTACGGTAAATGAGGAAAAGAATCACGCACAGGACCCCGACGGCACCTATGCACCCAATGACAATGGCAATGATGTTCGACCTGGAGAGTCCACGGCCTGCAAGAAGGAAAGCACATTATGCAGAGCATGGCACATCACTCTCCATCCAGACTCACCTGATCTGGACATTCCCAGAGGATTAGATAAGGTCATCACATGTCTAAACACTGGGATGCCACAGGGCTGTGTGTTGAGTCCGCTACTTTTCACTTTCTATAGATATTATTGTACTCCCATCCACCAGGTTGTAGCCAAGGGGAGGGGGTGTTTAGGGGTTCAACCCCCATATTGATTGATTGATTGATTGGTTGGTTGGTTGGTTGGTTAGTTGGTTGGTTTTTTGGTTTTTTTGTCATGTCAGGAGAGACTTGAGAAACTGCAAGTCACTTCTGGTGTGAGAGAATTGGCCATCTGCAAGGATGTTGCCCAGGGGACACCTGGATGATTTTATGTTTTTATCATCCTTGTGGGAGGCTTCTCTCATGTCCCCGCAAGATGAGCTGGAGCTGGTAGAAGGAGCTCATCCGCCTCTCCCCGGATTTGAACCTGGTTGAACCCCAGTTTAACCCACTGCACCACCAGGGGCTCCGATTGAGTGATTGGTTGATTGATTGATTTACTTCATTTATATACCGCTTTTCTCAGCCCTTAGGCAACTCAGAGCGGTTAACATTAGCAAAATTCAATGTTCCACATCATAAAAACAGTTAAAAACAATTAAAACAATAACATAATAAACAATTAAACATCAATATAACATCTCATTAGCGTCTCATAAGTAGAAGCAAGATCCAATCTCATCATCCGTTGTTCCGTATTCCTATGTTCATTACACTGCCTATTCAAATGCTTGTTCGAACAGCCAGGTTTTCGCTTTCCTCCGAAATGCCAATAGGGAGGGGGCCGATCTAATATCTGTAGGAAAGGCGTTCCACAGCCGAGGGGCCACCACTGAGAAGGCCCTGTCTCTCGTCCCCGCCAGATGTGCCTGTGTTGCAGGCGGGACCGAGAGCAGGGCCTCCCCAGACGATCTTAAAGTCCTAGCAGGTTCAAAAGGGGAGATGCATTCGGACAGGTAAGTTGGGCCAGAACCGTTTAGGGCTTTATAGGCTAACGCCAGCACTTTGAATTTTGCCCGGTAGCAGACTGGTAGCCAGTGGAGCTGGTGCAACAGAGGAGTAGTATGCTCCTTGAGTGCCGCTCCTGTTAGTATCCTGGCTGCTGAGCATTGGACCATTTGAAGCTTCCGAGTAGTCTTCAAAGGCAACCCCACGTAGAGAGTGTTGCAGTAGTCTATACGGGATGTAACCAGAGCGTGGACTACCGTGGCCAAGTCCGACTTCCCAAGGAAATAAAGCCCACCCCCACCCCTCCGGGTTTAAAAAAAAAACTGGATTACTCATGAATTTTAACTGGTTAACCAAATCCCCATGCTAAGGCTATGAGAAGCAAATATTAAACCAGTCTCTCCAGATGACTGGTTTAGGACCAGCACACCATCCTTGGTTTTGGGTGGAAAGGAGTAATAGAGTTGGGTATCACTGGCGTAAATTTGACACCGAACCCCAAAACTCCAGGTGATCTCTCCCAGTAGTTTCATGTAAATGTTAAATTGCATGGAGGACAGAATTGCATGGGGCCACCATCCAAGGAGTCAAACAGGAGTCCCCCAGCTCCACCTTCTGGGTCCGACCCTCCAAGAAGGACCAGAGCCACTGCAATACAATGCTCCCTAATCCCATCCCGGAGAGTCAGCCCAGAAAGATACCATGGTTGATGGTACCGAAAGTCGCTGAGAGGTCCAGGAGAACCAACAAGGACACACTCTCCCTCTCCAGCTCTCTTCGTAGATCATCCACCAAGGTGACCAATGCTCTCAGTTCCATAGCCAGACGTGAAACCAGATTGAAATGGATCTAAATAATGGGTTTCATCCAAGAAACTTTGGAGTTGTGAGGCCACCACATCTGCTGAAAGCAAGCCATAGAATTGTGCCAGAAGATCAAATTTCTAGGTCCACCTGTCCAATTTTATGTGTGACGGCGCGAGTGGCGCCACCTATGTGTAGAACTGTTAGTTGCAAGATTTAAACTGTTGTATCATGCTTATTCCTGCCTTTATAGTTGGATTGATTGGTTATTTATAGCTGTCAATCAATGTTATTTAACATCTATATGCGACCACTTGCTCAGCTGGTTCGAGGTTTTGGGCTTGAGTGTTATCAGTACGCCGATGACACTCAGCTGATGCTGAAGATGGAAGGCTGACCGGACTCTGTCCCCGATTCCTTCCATCAGTGCCTCAACGCCGTGACTGGATGGCTGCGTGCCAGCAGGTTGAGGGTGAATCCGGCAAAGACGGAGATCCTATGGCTGGGTCGACCGGGCAGTGGGGATATCCAGCTGCCTACCCTGGATGGCGAGGCGCTACGCCCGTCCTCGTTGGTCAAGAGTCTGGGAGTCCTTTTGGACCCTCTGCTGACGATGGAGGCCCAGGTCTCCGCCGTTAGCAGAACCGCTTTTTTTCATCTGCGGCAGGCTAGACGGCTGGCCCCCTCCCTGTCCAGGGACGACCTAGCTACGGTGATCCAGGCTATGGTCATCTCAAGACTGGACTACTGTAACGCCCGCTACATTGGCCTTCCTCTGTCGGTGATCCGGAAGCTCAAGTTGGTACAAAATGCAGCTGCTCGGCTTCTTGTGGGAATTCCGATGAGATGCCACATAACACCAATCTTACTGCAGCTGCATTGGTTACCAATTGAGCACCGGATCACTTTCAAAGGGATGGTACTCACCTTTAAGACCTTGCATGGTCTGGAGCCTATGTACCTGAGGGACCGCCTCTCCCCCTCCCAACCCCAGAGATCCCTCCGTTCTGAGGACCAAGATCTGTTGGAAATTTCCAGTGTCAAGACCTTGCGTCTAACAGCAACCAGACGCAGAGCCTTCACAGCAGTGGCACCATCACTCTGGAATACTCTGCCACCTGAAGTCCGTGCCTTGCGGGACTTACCAGCTTTCCGCAGGGCATGTAAGACATACCTGTTTTGACAGGCCTTTGATCTTTGATATTGTTGTTTTTAAATTGTTTTAAATTGTTTTTAAATTGTGTTAGATTTTAGCCTGTTCTTGTAAGCCGCTCCGAGCCCCAGGGGAGTGGAGGAATAAGTTCAAATAATAAATAAATAAATAAATAAATAAATAAATAAATAAATAAATGTTGTTTGCACCAGTTATATTGCTTCCTCAGCTCAATTGTTTGGCTCCACCTCTTCCTGGAGGAGGGGAGTGCTTTCCTTTTCCATTCCATCATCAGACTTTCTATCAGATGGACGTGAGAAAGAGACTTGGCTCTAAAAGCCCTTGACTGAGTTACCTCTCAGCACCAATTCTAAGGTTTTTACCCTTGGGACTCATACTTCATGCCCAGATTGCCCTGGACAACGTTCACTTTCAAACCGGTCTCTGGCACCAGAGGAAGGCTTCTGTGCCTTCAACATAGGCCATTGGACTGGAGGTTGTGTTTGTTCCGACTCTCACAGCCATTGAGGAAAGAGGGAACTTGGAAAAGCTTCTCAGCTTGGGCCAAGTGAGGAGCATCTTTCGAAGACCCCCCCCCCCAACCAGGTCATAGAAAAGAAACATTGTGACTTACCAATATCAGGATCGTTTGGATCTGCCAAAAATAAAACAATTCTGCTGAAACATGGCACTCAAAGGTTATACAGAATCTTATTGTGTCAAAATGTGACAGATAGTCATGTTGAGCAAAAACGTTATAGACATATTTTGCTAAAATATAATAGATACATATTGCACAAACATCTTACAGATAGTCATCTATCACAGTACTGTTACAGACATATTGCACATAAATGTTAGAGACCTAATGTACAAAAACCGTTACAGATATATTTTGCTAAAATATAATAGACACATATTGCACAAACATGTTACAGATAGTCATATTTTACAGTACTGTTACAGACATATTGCACATAAATGTTACAGCCATAATGTAAAAAAACCGTTATAGATATATTTTGCTTAAAATATAATAGACACATATTGCACAAATATGTTACAAATAGTCATATTTTACAGTACTGTTACAGACATATTGCATATAAATGTTAGAGACCTAATGTACTGTATCTTTAATATATTTTGTGCAATATAACGACTCTTTAAAGTCTAATAGGTGTTCTTGAGAGTATTGTATAATACGTTAGAGAGATTTGTTGCACAAAATGTTAGGAAGACTCCTATTTCTCAAAAATGTTCTAGAGTCATATTTTACAAAATTTTATAGTCATATTGCACAAAAATGTTATAGAGTCGTATTGGACTAAAACGTTACAGAGTCGTATTGCATGAAGACTTATTGAGTCATATTGCATAGAAACATTACAGTCATATTGCACAAAAACATTATAGGGAGTCACTGTGCAAAAAAATTGGAGAGTCATATTGCTCAAACCATGATAGAGTCATACTGTGCTAAAATGTTATAGTCATATTGTATAAAAACAGTATAGTCACAGCACAGAAAATTTTGTGCAATATGATAGCACAGAAGTCATATTTCACTAAAACATGATAGAGTCATATTGTACTGAAATGTTATAGTCATATTGCACAAAAATGTTATAGTCATATTGAAATAAAATGTTATAGAGTCGTATTGTACTAAAATGTTACAGAGTCGTATTGCATGAAAACTTATTGAGTCATATTACACAGAAACATTACAGTCATATTTCACAAAAACATTATAGGGAGTCACTGCAATTTGGAGAGTCATATTGTACAAAACCATGAGGGTGTCATACTGCACTAAAATGTTGTAGTTGTATTGTATAAAAACATTGTAGTCACATCACAGAAAATTTTGGAGAGCCATATGCACAAAACATTGTCATATTGCACAAAAACATTATACAGTCATATTGCACAAAAACATACTCATATTGCTCAAAACGTTGCAGAGACATATTGCATGAAACATTCTAGAGAGTCATGTTGCACAATATGTTATAGAGAGTTTTTTTGGGGGTTGTTGTAGGTTTTTCCGGGCTATATGGCCATGTTCTGGAGGCAATTTTTCTCCTGACGTTTCGCCTGCATCTATGGCAAGCATCCTTCTTCTTTTTTTTGTCGTGTCAGGAGCGACTTGAGAAACTGCAAGTCGCTTCTGGTGTGAGAGAATTGGCCGTCTGCAAGGACGTTGCCCAGGGGACGCCTGGATGATTTGATGTTTTTATCATCCTTGTGGGAGGCTTCTCTCATGTCCCCGCATGAGGAGCTGGAGCTGATAGAGGAGCTCATCCGCCTCTCCCCGGATTCGAACCCACAACCTGTCGGTCTTCAGTCCTGCTGGCACAGGGGTTTAACCCACTGCGCAACCGGGGGCTCCATAGAGAGAATAGACATATTGCACATAATGTCATAAGATATATTGCGCAAAAAGTTACGGAAGCCTACCTGGGATATCTATCTTCACGCTCCCCGCCATCATTCCCCCACGGCCATATATCAGGACGATAAAGTTGGTAGAGTCCGTGAAATTTAAGTTTGTGATCTCAAGGGAGCAGTCGGGCCTCATGGTCTCTCGCCCGGTGTAGTTCGGCCCCTTCCGAGTCGTAGGTTTTGGTTCGAAGAAATAGGCCAGGATGGTGTCTTTGTCACTCATTTCCCGTCGGTACCAGCGGCAGCTCACTGGGATTGGCGGAGCATGCTCGGGGTGAAGCGGACACTTCCTTCATTCACCGGTTTCGGTGGATTCACCACGATATTCGTCAGCTGCATGTAGGCTTCGGTCGACAAGAAGCAAACACTCAGGACGAAGGCTGTCGAGAGAACAAGGGAAGGGATGTCACACCCAGCAAAGCATCCGTTTGAGGCCATCAATACAACATCTCCAAAACACATCTCCAAAGTCTTTGAAAGGCAGCAGATCACAGGAACTGTCTTCATAGACCTGTCAGCGGCTTATGAGACTGTAAACCACCACCTCCTCCTGAGAAAAATGTATATATCACAAAGGACTACCACCTCACCCGCCTCATAGGAAACCTGCTACAAAACAGGAGCTTTTTTGTTGAGTTCCAGGGCCAGAGAAGCAGATGGCGGAAACAGAAGAATGGCCTGCCTCAGGGGAGCGTGCTTGCTCCATCCATGTTCAACATCTACACACATGACCAGCCACTGCCAGAAGGGACAGAGAGTTTCATCTATGCTGATGATCGTGCCATCACCGCCCAAGCAGGGAGCTTTGAGATGGTTGAACAGAAGCTCTCCGAAGCTCTAGGTGCTCTCATAGGAAACCTGCTACAAAACAGGAGCTTTTTTGTTGAGTTCCAGGGCCAGAGAAGCAGATGGCGGAAACAGAAGAACAGCTTGCTCCATCCATGTTCAACATCTACACAAATGACCAGCCACTGCCAGAAGGGACAGAGAGCTTCATCTATGCTGATGATCGTGCCATTACTGCTCAAGCAGGGAGCTTTGAGATGGTTGAACAGAAGCTCTCCGAAGCTCTAGGTGCCCTTACTGCCTATTACAGGGAAAACCAGCTGATCCCTAATCATATATCATTTATATAATATCACCAAGGACGACCACCTCACCCGCCTCATAGGGAACCTGCTACCAAACAGGAGCTTCTTTGTTGAGTTCTGGGGCCAGAGAAGCAGATGGCGGAAACAGAAGAACGGCCTGCCTCAGGGGAGCGTGCTTGCTCCATCCATGTTCAACATCTACACAAATGACCAGCCACTGCCAGAAGGGACAGAGAGCTTCATCTATGCTGATGATTGTGCCATCACCACCCAAGCAGGGAGCTTTGAGATGGTAGAACAGAAGCTCTCCAAAGCTCTAGGTCAGTGGCTCTCAACCTTCCTAATGCCGCGACCCCTTAGTATAGGTCCTCATGTTGTTGTGACCCCCAATCATAACGTTATTTTCATTGCCAGTTCATAACTGTAATTTTGTTACTGTTAAGAATTGTAATGTAAATATCTGATATGCAGGATGTATTTTTAGTCACAGGACCAAATTTGGCACAAATACCCGATATGCCCAAATTTGAATACTGGTGGGGTTGGGGGTGATTGATTTTGTCATTTGGTAATGCTGGAGTTGCTGGGATTTACAGTTCACCTAAAATCAAAGAGCCTTCTTAACTCCACCAAACTTGGCACACAGAATTCCCATGACCAAGAGAAAATACTGGGAAGGTCTGGTGGACATTCACCTTGAGTTTTTGGAGTTGTAGTTCACCTACATCCAGAGAGCACTGTGGACTCAAACAATAACACTGGACTCAAGCAATGATGGATCTGGATCAAACTTGGCACAAATACTCAATATGCCCAAATGAGAACATTGGTAGAGTTTGGAGAAAATAGACCTAGCCATTTGGGAGTTGTAGTTGTTGAGATTTATAGTTCACCCACAATGAAATAGCATTCTGAATGCCACCATCGATAGAATTGGACCAAACTTCCCACACAGAACCCCCATGACCAACAGAAAATACTATGTTTTCTGATGGTCTTTGGTGACCCCTCTGACACCCCCTTGCGACCCCCACAGGGGTCCTGACCCCCAGGTTGAGAAACACTGCTCTAGGTGCTCTTACTGCCTATTACAGGGGAAACCAGCTGATCCCTAACCCATCTAAAACACAGACATATGCTTTTCACCTTCAGAACAGACTAGCATCCCGAGCTCTGAGGATCACTGGGAAGGAATCCCACTGGAGCATTGCAGCGCACCCAAATCCCTGGGAGTCACTCTGGACCGTGCTCTGACCTACAAGAAGCACTGCCTGAACATCAAGCAAAAAGTGGGCGCTAGAAACAATATCATACGAAAGCTGACTGGCACAACCTGGGGATCACAACCAGACACAGTGAAGACATCTGCCCTTGCGCTATGCTACTCTGCTGCTGAGTATGCATGCCCAGTGTGGAACACATCTCACCACGCTAAAAGAGTGGATGTGGCTCTTAATGAGACATGCCGCATTATCACTGGGTGTCTGCGCCCTACACCACTGGAGAAATTACACTGCTTAGCCGGTATTGCACCACCTGACATCCGCCGGGAAGTAGCAGCCAATAGTGAAAGGACCAAGGCAGAGACATCTCCAGCTCATCCCTTGTTTGGTTATCAGCCAGCACGTCAACGACTTAAATCAAAATAGTTTTCTAAGATCTACAGAGACACCCGCTGGAACACCTCAGCAAGCGAGAGTCCAAAAGTGGCAGGCTCAAACCCAGAACCTCAATCAATGGCTGATACCAAATGAGAGACTCCCCTGGGCACACAGAAGACTGGGCGACTTGGAAGGCGCTGAACAGACTGCGCTCTGGCACCACGAGATGCAGAGCCAACCTCAAGAAATGGGTCCACAAAGTGGAGTCCACGACATGCGAGTGTGGAGAAGAGCAAACCACTGACCACCGACTGCAATGCACCCTGAGCCCTGCCACATGCACAAGGGAGGGCCTTCTTATAGTCACCAGAGGCACTCCAAGTGGCCAGATACTGGTCAAAGGACATCTAATCAACTACCAAGGTTGCAAACTTTGTATTTTTGTTTTGTTCTGTTCGGTCTGCTCCTGACAAGATAAATAAATAGTCTTCCTGTCCCACCACCACCACCTTTTCTGCATGTTAATAATATTGCTTTGTATGCATGAATCTAAGGAATTAAAATGAACATTTGCCCATCCCTACTAGCTATCTATCAAGGATGGGTTTGGACTCTTCCAACTCTAGGATTCAAGTGGTTGTCAAGCAAAGGCTGAATGGCTATCTGTCAGGAGGACTGGGGTGGTGTCTTCCTTTATGGCAGAAGGTGGTTTGACTTGATGACCCTTGATGTCCCTTCCAACACTGGTTATATGTAAAGAAGGATTGTCTCTTTGAGCCACAGTTGGCCTTCTGCGTCTTTCTTGGATCTCTTCCATGTATCGCTATGATTCCGCTTTAACTGTTCCATGGAAACAATCTCTGGAACCCTGAGGTTTTATGGAGAGTTCTTTGGGATGTTTAGTTCCCCTCACCAAAGGACCAAGCCCATCCAGCCATAGATATGACTGAGAAATAGAGATGATCCTACATTTGGGAGGGATCTCTAAAGGCCATTTAGTAGTCCAATCCCTTCTGCCATAGAGAATGACACCATCCCATCCATCTGTTCTCTCTTATCATGAGCTAGGACCTCTTTCGCTGCCTTTGAGTCCTGCCTCTCTGACTGGACTTCCCTCCCTACCTCCTCCCTGGGACCTTGCTCCTTCTTTCCTTCCTTCTCTCCATTCCTTTCTTTTCTCTCTTCTTCCCTCTTTTCCCCTTCCTTCCTTCCTTCTTTCTCTTTTTTTTTCCTTCCTTCCTTTCTCTTTCCTCTTCCTTCTCCTTTCCTTTCCTTCCTTTCTTCTTCTTTCTTCCTTCCTTCTCCTTCCTCCTTTCCTTTCCTTCCTTCTCTTTCCTTCCTTCCTTCTCCTCTTCCTTCTTTCTCTTTCCTTCTTTCTTTCTTCTTCCTTCTTTCTTTCTTTCCCTTCCTCTCTTTCTTTCTTTTTTCCTCTCTCCTTCTCTCTTTCCTTCTTCCTTTCTTTCTTTCTTTCTCTCCCTTCCTTCCTTCCTTCCTTCCTTCCTTCCTTCCTTCCTTCTTCCTTCCTTCTCTCTCTTCTTTCTTCCTTTTCCTTCCTTCTTCTCTCTTTCCTCCTTCTCTCCCTCCCTTCTCCTTCTCTCCCTTCCTTCTTCTTCCTCCTTCTCCTCCCTCCCTTCTCTCTTTCCTTCTTTCCTTCCTCCCTCCTCCTCTTTCTTCTTCCTCCCTTCCCTCCCTCCTTCTCCCTCCTTCTCCCTCCTTCCTTCTCCTTTCCTTCCTTCCCCCTTTTCCTCCCTCCTTCCCTCTCTCTCTTTCTCCCTTCCTTCCTTCCTTCCTTCTCTCTTTCCTTCCTTCCTTCTCTCCTTCCTTCCTTCCTTCCTTCCTTCTCTCTTTCCTCCTTCCTTCCTTATTCCCTCTTTTCTCTTTCTTTCTTCCTTTCTTTCTTTCTTTCTTTCTTTCCTTTCCTCTCTTTCTTTCTTTTTTTCCTCTCTCCTTTGACAGAAAACAATCTGCCAAACTTCCTTCCTTCCTACTCTCTTTCTTTTTGGTTTCTCTCCTTCCTTCCTTCCTTCCTTCCTTCCTTCTTTCTCTCTTTCCTTCCTTCCTTCCTTCTCTCTTTCCTTCCTTCTCCTTCCTCCCTCCCTCCCTTCTCTCTTCCTTCCTTCTCCTCCCTCCCTTCCTTCTCTTTCCTTCCTTCTCCCTCCCTCCCTCCCTTCTCCTTCCTCCCTCCCTCCCTTCTCTCTTCCTTCCTTCTCCCTCCCTTCCTTCTCTCTTTCCTTCCTTTTCCTCCCTCCCTCCCTTCTTCTCTTCCTTCTTCCTTCTCTTTCCTTCCTTCTTCTCCTTCCTTCCTTCCTTCTCCTCCTCCCCTCTCCCTTCCTCCTTCCCTCTTTCTTTCCTTCTTCTCTCCTTCTTCCTCCTTCCTTCCTTCCCTCCCTCCTTTCCTCCCTTCCTTCTCTCCTTCTTCCTCTCCTCCCTCCCTTCCTTCCTTCCTTCCTTCTCTCTCTTTCTTTCCTCCCCTCCTTCCTTCACCTGCGAGGAGCGTGGAGGGCGCCGGGCTCTGGGCCCCGAGGAGAGCCCCCATTGGTGATGGTGCTGACTCTGACCGGATCGCCTATCGCCGCTGCGGTGCTGGCCGGGCCCTCCTCCTCCCCCTCCCTCCCCTCCCCTTCCTTTCTTTTCTCCCTCGGAGTAGAGGAGCCGGGCCCGTTGCGCCCGTCACCGGCCGGCCTTTGTGAGCTCAGCGGGAGAGCAGGGAGGGAGGGGGGGGGAGGCACCCCCCAGGCTTGGAACCAGAGCAAGCAACCACTCTCCCGATGGTTCCTATCAGCAGCAGCATCTAGCCACTCTAACTCTTTCCAAGGACTCTGAGGGCAGAGAGGCTTCAAGAGCTGGGCATGTGTTCAACCTGAAGAAGGGAAGTCGGGGAGGAGGCAGGAGGAGGGGCAGGGAGCAAGGTGTGACGGGGGGGGGGGAGAGATGTCCTGGGGTTTTAGAGGACCATAAGCTGGAGATACCTTGAGATGTTTTAGATGACCATAAGCTGGAGATACCTTGAGATGTTTTAGATGACCATAAGTTGGAGATACCTTGAGATGTTTTAGATGACCATAAGCTGGAGATACCTTGAGATGTTTTAGATGACCATAAGCTGGAGATACCTTGAGATGTTTTAGATGACCATAAGCTGGAGATACCTTGAGATGTTTTAGATGACCATAAGCTGGAGATACCTTGAGATGTTTTAGATGACCATAAGCTGGAGATACCTTGAGATGTTTTAGATGACCATAAGTTGGAGATACCTTGAGATGTTTTAGATGACCATAAGCTGGAGATACCTTGAGATGTTTTAGATGACCATAAGTTGGAGATACCTTGAGATGTTTTAGATGACCATAAGTTGGAGATACCTTGAGATGTTTTAGATGACCATAAGTTGGAGATACCTTGAGATGTTTTAGATGGCCATAAGTTGGAGATACCTTGAGATGTTTTAGATGGCCATAAGTTGGAGATACCTTGAGATGTTTTAGATGGCTTCAATGGCTTCAAACTACAAGAAAGGAGATTCCACCTGAACATGAGGAAGAAATTCCTGACCATGAGAGCTGTTCAACAGTGGAACTACCCACCCAGAGTGTGGTGGAGGCTCCTTCTTTGCAGGCTTTGGAGCAGACGCTGGATGGCCATCTGTCGGGGGTGCTTTGAAGGCAATTTTCCTGCTTCTTGGCAGAATAGGGTTGGACTGGATGATGGCCCACCAGGTCTCTTCCAACTCTAGGATTCTGATTCTAATGTTCTGACTGTAAGAGCTGTTCAGCAGTGGAACTCTCCACCCCAGATGATGGCCCACCAGGTCTCTTCCAACTCAAGGATTCTGATTCTAATGTCCTGACTGTGAGAGCTGTTCAGCAGTGGAACTCTCCGCCCCAGAGTGTGGTGGAGGCTCCTTCTTTGGAGGCTTTGAAGCAAAGGCTGGATGGCCATCTGTCAGGGGAGATTTGAATGCAATATTCCTGCTTCTTGACAGAATAGGGTTGGACTGGATGGCCCACCAGGTCTCTTCCAACTCTAGGATTCTAGGATTCTGATTCTAATGTCCTGACTGTGAGAGCAGTTCAGCAGTGGAACTCTCCGTCCCAGAGTGTGGTGGAGGTTCCTTCTTTGGAAGCTTTGAAGCAGAGGCTGGATGGCCATCTGTCAGGGGTGCTTTGAAGGAGATTTTCCTGCTTCTTGGCCAAAGAGGGTTGGGCTGGATGATGGCCCACCAGGTCCCTTCCAACTCTGGGATTCCATGATTCTATTGAACTCGTGACCTTCTGGCAAGGAAACCAGCCCTACAGTGAGGTGGATCTGGAATTGGTTAAGCAAACGAACCCAGAGGATGATTCTCCCCAGTGCTTCCTCTTCTTCATCCTGGAAAGACATGATGAGTGGAAGGCCATGAAGATGGTTCCATCCTGGGCCCAGTTCTGTTCAGGATCTTTATTAGTCACTTAGATGAAGGAGATTCCATCTGAACTTGAGGAAGAACTTCCTGACTGTGAGAGCTGTTCACCCTGGAATGTAGTGGAATATCATTATTGAACTAGATGCTTTTGAACTGTGGTGTTGGAGTAAAATGCTGAGAGTGCCTTGGACCGCGAGAAGATCCAACCAGTCCATACTTCAGGAAATAAAGCCCGACTGCTCCTTGGAGGGAAGGATAGTAGAGGCCAAGATGAAGTACTTTGGCCACATCATGAGAAGAAAGGAAAGCTTAGAGAAAACAATGATGCTGGGGAAAATGGAAGGAAAAAGGAAGACCAAGGGCAAGATGGATGGATGGCATCCTTGAAGTGACTGGCTTGACCTTGAAGGAGCTGGGGGTGGTGACGGCGACAGGGAGCTCTGTCCGTGGGATGGTCCAGGAGGTCACGAAGAGTCTGAAGCGACTGAATGAATAAACAACAACTATCTTATGAAATGCCTTCCTAAAGTAGATTACCGAAATAAACCGGCTGAGGTCCTCCACAGCCAGTTTCACTCAGCCGCTGGATGCGCACTCCCAGGACCTCTTCCCCATGCACTTGCCAATGACAGGAGAGGGACGCGCCCCATCGTTGGCAACGGGGGCGCCCCTTGGAGACAGCACCCTAGAATCATAGAATCAAAGAGTTGGAAGAGACCTCCTGGGCCATCATCCAGTCCAACCCCATTCTGCCAAGAAGCAGGAATATTGCATTCAAATCACCCCTGACAGATGGCCACCCAGCCTCTGTTTAAAAGCTTCCAAAGAAGGAGCCTCCACCACACTCCAGGGCAGAGAGTTCCACTGCTGAATGGCTCTCACAGTCAGGAAGTTCTTCCTCATGTTCAGATGGAATCTCCTTTCTTGTATTTGAAGCCATTGTTCCATTGCGTCCTAGTCTCCAGGGCAGCAGAAAACAAGCTTGCTCCCTCCTCCCTGTGGCTTCCTCTCACATATTTATACATGGCTATCATGTCTCCTCTCAGCCTTCTCTTCTTCAGGCTAAACATGCCCAGCTCCTTAACCCGCTCCTCATAGGGCTTGTTCTCCAGACCCTTGATCATTTTAGTCGCCCTCCTCTGGACACATTCCAGCTTGTCAATATCTCTCTTGAATTGTGGTGCCCAGAATTGGACACAATATTCCAGTGTGGTCTAACCAAAGCAGAATAGAGGGGTAGCATTACTTCCCTAGATCTAGACACTATGCTCCTCTATTGATGCAGGCCAAAATCCCATTGTTGCTTTTTTTGCCGCCACATCACATTCCTGGCTCATGTTTAACTTGTTGTCCACGAGGACTCCAAGATCTTTTTCACACGTACTGCTCTCGAGCCAGGCATCCCCCATTCTGTATCTTTGCATTTCGTTTTTCCTGCCAAAGTGGAGTATCTTGCATTTGTCACTGTTGAACTTCATTTTGTTAGTTTTGGCCCATCATCTCTCTAATCTGTCAAGATCGTTTTGAATCCTGCTCCTGTCCTCTGGAGTATTAGCTCTCCCTCCCAATTTGGTGTCGTCTGCAAACTTGATGATCAGCAAAAGCGTAATTTGCCTTATGGTTCAGCTGCCCCTGGGTAGATTACCTACATCAAGCAGCTGAAGTCTTCCATATATTGAAGCATTAGCATAGTCATCTAACCAATCAATCAATCAATCAATGATTTATTACGGTCTTTCATCTAACAGATTTCCTGACTGTGCTTGGGAATTAAACTAAAGGAATAATAATAATAATAATAATAATAATACCCTACCTACCATCTCCCCTAAGGGACTCGGGGCGGCTTACAAGGAACAAACCCAAAATTACAAGTGAAACACAAAAAAAACAGCTTAATCCACCTTGGCAATCTTGGAGTGTTTGTGTTATTTTATTTGTGGGCAAGGCCGTATCATTGCACGGTCCATCCATGCAGCGGGAGATGTATTTCTCAAACGGTACCAACTGGAACCTGGACGAGATCAATATGATTTCAATAATCTGACTTTTCCATTTTCGTGGCTTGACGGTGGTTGGCTTTATTTTTCTCTCTTCCGTTCTTCAGGCGTGATCCATCAACATCTTCAAGGGCCCTAAAAATAAATTTAAATGATAACATCAGCAATAGGGAAGTCCAATGGAGGGAGAGATCAAGGGGAAACTCCTAGTCCAGTGGTTCTGAACCTGTGGGTCCCCAGATGTTTTGGCCTTCAACTCCCAGAAATCCTAACAGCTGGTAAACTGGCTGGGATTTCTGGGAGTTGTAGGCCAAAACACCTGGGGACCCACAGGTTCAGAACCACTGGACCAGTCACTGGATGAACTGGGTCCTGATGGAGCCCTGGATTCAAACAGCAGGGGAAGAGACTCTATTATTTATTTATTTATTTGGGGTTCATTTACCCCGCCCTTCTCACCCCAAAGGGGACTCAGGGCGGCTTACAAAGGCAAAGGCACAATTCGATGCCTGCATCATAAAACAATCATATACAAAATTACATCAATTCACAGTTAACAACAATTCAAATCAATAAAACCAATACAAACCCATTTTCTCCTCTTACATGGTCAGCGTTCTCTAACTCATAGATCTAGTTTTACTTTCCACTTCTTCAATCCTGTTGGACATACTCGTCTGGTTGTCTGATTTAATTGCCAGAGTGCCCAAAGGCCTGGTCCCATAACCAAGTCTTCACCCTCCTCCTAAAGGCGAGGAGGGATGATGATGCCCTGATTTCCCCCGGGAGGGAATTCCACAGGTGAGGGGCCACCACTGAGAAAGCCCTGCTCCTCGTCCCCACCAGCCTCACTTGTGACAGTGGTGGGGTCGAGAGCAGTGCCTCCCCAGCTGATCTCAAACTCCGGGGTGGGACGTAGAGGGAGATACGTTCGGACAGATACACTGGACCGGAACCGTACAGGGTTTTGTAGGTCAAAACCAGCACCTTGAATTGTGCTCGGAACTGAATCGGCAGCCAGTGGAGCTGGCACAGCAGGGGGGTGGTATGCTCCCTGTATGTCGCTCCGATGAGCAGTCTGGCTGCCGCTTGCTGGACTAGTTGAAGTTTCCGAGCAGTCTTCAAGGGCAACCCCACGCAGAGCGCGTTGCAGTAGTCTATTCGGGATGTAACAAGAGCGTGGACCACCGTGGCCAGATCAGACTTCCCGTGGTACGGGCACTTACAACAATTATTATTATTATTAATAATAATAATAATAATAATAATAATAATAATAATAATAATAGCTGTTGGGAGAGATCATCCAGAGTTTCAGGGTGCGGTGTCATCTGTACACAGATGATATCCAACTCTGTCACTCCTTTCCACCTGCTACTAAGGAGGCTGTCCAAGTCCTGAACCGGTGCTTGGCCGCTGTAATGGACTGGATGAGGGACAACAGATTGAAACTGAATCCAGACAAGACAGAGGTCCTCCTGGTCAGTCGAAAGGCCGAACAGAGTATAGGGTTACAGCCTGTGCTGGACGGGGTTACATTCCCCCTGAAGACGCAGGTTTGCAGTTTGGGAGTTCTCCTAGATTCATCACTGAGCCTGGAACCCCAGGTTTCAGCGGTGACCAGGGGAGCTATTGCACAGTTAAAACTCGTGTGCCCAGCTGCCCGTACCTTGGGAAGTCTGACTTGGCCACGGTTGTCCACGCTTTGGTTACATCCCGTTAGATTACTGCAACGCTCTCTACGTGGGGTTGCCTCTGAAGACTGCCCGGAAGCTTCAATTAGTCCAACGTGCAGCAGCCAGACTACTAACGGGAGCGGGGTACAGGGAGCATACGACTCCTCTGTTGCGCCAGCTCCACTGGCTGCCAGTCAGCTTCCGAGCACAATACAAAGTGCTGGTCTTCACCTATAAAGCCCTAAACGACTCCGGCCCAATTTACCTGTCCGAACATATCGTCCCCTATGAACCATCAAGATTGCTAAGATCGTCTGGAGGGGCCCTGCTCTCGATCCCACCGGCCTCACAGGCGCGGCTGGTGGGGACGAGAGACAGGGCCTTCTCGGTGGTGGCCCCTCGACTCTGGAACTCCCTTCCACTGGAGATCAGAACTGCCCCTTCTATCTTAACGTTCAGGAAACAGGTGAAAACTTGGCTTTGGGGATTGGCATTCGAAATGAGCCATGATCCTGTGACATGGATGGATGACGACAAATAATGATTTTTGATGACTGACCACTGTAATTATATGATTGTATTTTGCTATTTTAATGTTTTAGTGTGATTTAGAATATGATGTTTTAATGACTGTCTGTAATATTGATGTTGGAAACCGGCCTGAGTCCCTCGAATGGAGGTGAGAAGACCGGTATACAAAACTGCTAAATAAATAAATAAATAAATTATTATTATTATTATTATTATTATTATTATTATTAAACTTTATTTGTACCCCACTAGCATCTCCCGAAGGACTCGATGCGGCTTACAAAGACCAAGGCCTCAACATAACAACAGCAAACAATAACAATACGATGCAAAGCAAATTAAAAACATAAGCAATACCTAAACGTTAGAAGTCCTGACAATGAGAGCTGCTCAATAGTAGAATATAGACCACCTCGGAGTCCAATTGAGTCTCCTTCTCTGGAGGCTTTTAATCAGAGGTTGGATGGCCCTCTGTGGAGAAGGCTTAGATTGGGCTTTCCTTGCCTGGCAGAAGGGGGTTGGACTACATGGTCATCTGTCAAGAGGGCCTGGATTAGACTTTTCTTGCAGAAGATGGTTGGACTGCATGGCCATTAGCTGAGAGGACTTGGGTTGTACTTCTCCTGCCTGGAAGGAGAGTGTTAGACTGGATAGCCCTTGGGGTCTCTTCCCACTTTGTGATCCTATGATGCCATACCTCTCCCCTGAGTTCCATGCTCTCCTCCACATTGCAAATGGATCATACACCACGGAGCATAGGAGATGGAGGCCCCTTTCCTACAGACCTTGCCTTGAGACCCTCTGGCCTTACCTCTCCTACAAGGGCTGGAAGGCAGCTCTAGAAAGCGTTGGAATTCCTTGGCAAGAAAAACCTGGAGGGAGAAGACACGGCGTCAAAGCCAGCCGTCTTCTGGTGTGTGGCACCTCCTTTCCTCCATCCAGAAGGGAGCTTCCATCTATGACTTCTTATCATTGACCATGGGACCTACCGCAAGGGTCTTCCTCATTGTTTGACTCACTGTAAATGGCGAAAAGCACCACGCCCATGATGCCATTTTAAGGTTTCAATTCTAGGATGGTCTCTTCCATCTTGTCCAGTCTTAACTGGCCCTTAGCCAGACGCCAATCACACCATTTCATCACAATCCACTCATCACATTTAGACTGACTTGGAGTCCAATTAGGTCTCCTTCTCTGGAGGCTTTTAAGCAGAGCTTGGAAGGCTATCCATCAAGAGGCTTTGGATTGTGTTTTTCCTGGGTTGGACTGCATGGCCATCAGCTGAGAGGACTTGGGTTGTGCTTTTCCTGCCTAGCAGAAGGGGAGGGGTCAGACTGAATGGCCCTTCAGGTCTCTTCCAACTTTGCGATCCTATGTTTCCATATCTCACCCCCCCCCTTTTTTTTTCTTTTTCTTTTTTTTTTTTTGTCGTGTCAGGGGCAACTTGAGAAACTGCAAGTTGCTTCTGGTGTGAGAGAATTGGCCGTCTGCAAGGACGTTGTCCAGGGGATGCCCAGATGATTTGATGTTTTATCATCCTTGTGGGAGGCTTCTCTCATGTCCCCACATGAAGAGCTGGAGCTGATAGAGGGAGCTCATCCGTCTCTCCACGGATTCGAACCTGCGACCTGTCCGTCTTCAGTCCTGCCAGCACAGGGGTTTAACCCACTGCGCCACCGGGGGCTCACCCTTGAATCCCATGCTCTCCTCCACTTTGCAAATGGATCATGTGCCATATGTTTACCTCTCCTACAAGGAACGGGAGGCAGCTCTAGAATGCCAGAAATACATTTCTCCAATGCCAGAGATACAGGTCAATGGTGTAACATTGGAAAATGTTGACCACTTCCGCTTTCTTGGCAGCCACCTCTCCACCAAAGTCAACATTGACACTGAAATACAATGCCGCCTGAGCTGTACAAGTGCACCATTTTTGCCTGAGCTCTGCGAGTGCAGCATATTTGCCTGAGCTCTACGAGCGCACCATTTTTGCCTGAGCTCTACGAGCGCACCATTTTTGCCTGAGCTCTGCGAGTGCAGCATTTTTCTGAATGAAGCAGAGAGTGTTTGAGGACCAGGACATCCATAGGGAGACCAAGGTGCTTGTTTATAGAGCTATTGTCCTCCCAACCCTGCTCTATGCCTGCGAAACGTGGTCTACAGACGTCACATGCAACTCCTAAAACGATTCCATCAGTGCTGCCTCCAAAAAAATCCTGCAAATCTCTTGGGAAGACAGGCAGACAAATGTCAGCATGCTGGAAGAAGCAAAGACTACCAGCATTGAAGCGATGGTCCTCAGCCATCAACTCCGCTGGACCGGCCACTTTGTCCGGATGCCCAGCCACCATCTCCCAAAGCAGTTGCTCTACTCCGAACTCAAGAACGGAAAACGGAATCTTGGAGGACAGGAAAAGAGATTGAAAGATGGGCTCAAAGCCAACCTTAAAAACTCTGGCATAGACACTGAGAACTGGGAAGCCCTGGCCCTCGAGTGCTCCAGCTGGAGGTCAGCTGTGACCAGCAGTGCTGTAGAATTTGAAGAGGTACGAATGGAGGGTGAAAGAGAGAAACATGCCGAAAGGAAGGCGTGTCAAGCCAACCCCGACCAGGACCACCTTCCACCTGGAAACTGATGCCCTCACTGTGGGAGAAGATGCAGGTCAAGAAGAGGGCTCCACAGTCACCTACGGACCCACCGCCAGGATACTGATCCTGGATGACAATCCTACTCAGACAACAAGGGATCACCTAATAAGTAAGTAAGCTTACCTCTCCTATGAGGACTGGGATGCAGCTCTAGAAATGGTTGGAAATCCTCGGCGAGAAAAACCTGGAGGAAGGAGAAGACAAGGAGTCAAAGCCAGCCATCTTCTTGTCTGTGTCCCTCTCTTGGTGTCCTGGGCACCTCCTTTCCTCCTTTCCTCCATCCAGACTTCTTATCACTGGCCATGGGACCTACCACAAGGGACTTCCTCATTGTTCCAGAGTTTGACTCACTGTAAATGGCGAAAACCAGCATGCCCAGGACCACTGCGGCACTCAGGCTCCCAAAGACCACGCCAATAATAGTCATTTTGTTGACTCCCCGGGCTGCAAAGAGGAAAGCACACGATGCAGAGCTCGGCACATCACTCTCCGGCCAATATCTTTCCTTGTGACTCAACAGAACGTCTGATACATGCCTTGCAAAAGGAAATGGGATTGGGAGATTCCTGGGGAATCGTGCCCATAAAGTCCAACCCGCACATTTGTGGGGAAACCACTCCCAAACTTACTCTTGGAATGCAAAACCTCTTGAAAGAAATGACTACCAAGAAAAGCACCCCCACACACTCCTCCCCAAAACGATGTCCTCTCTCGGCACAATCGCCGCTCTGAAAGAAAACCAACCCTGCGATGCCAGGTCAGACAAAAGGGACTTACCAGACACTTTGGGCTCCTCGTCTGGTGGATCTGCCAAAAATAAAACAATTCTGCTGAAACACAGGACACCAATGTTATGGACAGTCATATGCTGCTAAAATGTGACAGATAGTCCTATTGCACAAAAATGTTAAGAGTCTTGTTGCGCAAAATGTTAAGAGACATATTTTACAAATATGTAAGGGACATATTACAAAAACATGTGACTGATAGTCACGTTGCACAAAATCTTTGAAACATATTGTACAAATATGTAAAGGACATATTGCACAAACATGTTACAGATAGTCATGTTGCACAAAATGTTCTAGACATATTGTACAAATATAAAAGGGACATATTTCACCAACATGTTACAGATAGTCATGTTGCACAAAATGTTGTAGACATATTTCACAAATATATAATGGAATATTGCAAAAACATGTTACAGTCATGTTGCACAAAATCTTCAAAACATATTGTACAAATATGTAAAGGACATATTGCACAAACATGTTACAGATAGTCATGTTGCACAAAATGTTCAAGGCATATTGTACAAATATGAGAGATATTGCACAACATGTTACAGATAGTTATGTTGCACAAAATGTTCTAGACATATTTCACGAATATCTAAGGGACATATTGCAAAAACATGTGACTGATAGTCACATTGCACAAAATCTTCAAAACATATTGTACAAATATGTAAAGGACACCTTTCACATACACATTACAGATAGTAGTGTTTCACAAATGTTCTAGGCATATTGTACAAATATGAGAAATATTGCATGAACATGTTACAGATAGTCATGTTGAACAAAACCGTCAAAACATATTGTACAAATATATAAAGGACATATTGCAAAACATGTTACCAATAGTCATGTTGCACAAAATGTTCTAGACATATTTCATGAATATCTAAGGGACATATTGCAAAAACATGTGACTGATAGTCACATTGCACAAATCTTCAAAACATATTGTACAAATATGTAAGGGACATCTTGCACATACACATTACAGATAGTAATGTTTCACAAATGTTCCAGGCATATTGTACAAATATGAAACATATTGCACGAACATGTTACAGATAGTCATGTTGCACAAAATGTTCTAGACATATTTCACAAATATATCATAGCTGTATTATACCAACTTTTTTACAGACTGACATATTGCATAACACTATTATAGACATATTGTACAACAACGTTAGAGATAACCGTATGTCACAAAAATGTTAGAGACGTATTGTACAAAAGTGTTGTAACATATTTCACTGAAATTCTATAGACTTATTAGACAAAAGTGCTATAAACATATTTCAAAAAATATTTTTGATAGTCATGTTTCACAAAATGTTATAAACCATCATATTTCATAAACTGTTATAGACATATTGCACAAAAATGGTATTGGCAATCATATTTCACAAAAACATATTTCACACAATGTCATAGACACATATTGTACAAAAATGTTGCAAACATATCTCACAACAATGTTATAGGCAGTCATGTTGTGGAAACTGTCATAGAGCATCATGTTATAGGGCCCAAACACGTTAAAGACAGTCATATGTCACAAAAATGTTGGGTATATTTCATGAAAAGGTGATAGTTGTATTTCACGAAAAGCATTATAGACGATCATATTGCACTTATTTATTTATTTATCATGTCAGAAGTGAATTGAGAATACAGTTATAATGTATAGAAAAACTATTGTACAAAATTGTCAATGTATTTCACAAAATATGTTAAGAGAGAGTCACACGTCACACAAATGTTATTACATGTATTTCACCAAAATGACAGTCATATTGCACAAATAAGTTACAGACATATTGTACAAAAATGTGACAGAGAGTCATATTGCACAAAAACATTATAGGCATGTTGTACAAAAATGTGACACAAAGTCCTATTTCATAAAATCCATTATAGACATATTGTACAAAAACGTGACACAGTCATATTGCACAAATAAGTTATAGGCATATTGTACAAAAATGTGACACAGAGTCATATTGCACAAAAAGCTGTTGTAGACATATTGTACATAAGTGTTTTAGAGAGTCATATTGAATAGATAGAAGCCTACAATGGACGATAAGCTCCACGCTTCCTATCCGAATTCCTTCAGGCCCATCGATCAGGACTATATAGTTTCCAAGATCAGTGATGTTTAAGTTTGTGATCTCAAGGGAGCAGTCAGGCCTCATGGTCTCTCGCCCCGTGTATTGTGCCGCCTCCCAAGCGCCCGGGCTTGGATAGAAGTAATAGCTCAGGATGGTATTATTATAATCCCTTTTCCCTCGGAACCAACGGCAGATCGATGGGACTGGAGGTAAGGTGACTGGGATGAGGCGGACGCTTCCTCCTTCCATCGGCTTTGGTGGGTCCACCGTGATATTTGTCCGCTTAAAGGCGGCTTCGGTCGAGAAGAAGCAAACACTCAGGATGAAGGCTGTGAGGAGAAGAAGGGAAGGGACGTCACTCCCAGCAAAGCATCCCTTGGAGGCAAAGTCAATCAACCTAACATCTGGCTCACATCTCCAAGCTGCCTCTGGATCTCCCAAATATATCTCCAAAGTCTTTCTACTTTCCAGAGAGTAAGGGGATGCAAGCAATGGCCAGGCCCACCTTACTCAACCCAAGGATAAATGATGTGATGGAGCCTCCTTCCTTCTCTGAAGGAGTCTAAGCAGAATCTGGATGGCCACCTGTCGGGAGGAGATCTTTGGACTGGATGACCTTTGAGGATCTCATCTACCTTTAGGATTCTATGATAAGGGTGACTCAACAAGTCAAGTAAGGGTTTGAAAGGCTATCAGTTGGGAGGGATTTCATAAGATCTTGACAGGAGGGGGTTGGACTGGAAGGCCCTTGGAGTCTCTTCCAACTCTAGGATTCTGTCCATCCATTCATTTATCTATATTATGGCCCTTGGGGTTTCTAGGGTTCCATGGTTCTACCTATCCATTCAGATATCTAGCTAATGCTCTCCATCATTGATGGGCTTGGATTCTTCCAACTCTAGGAGTCAATGATCATCTGAGTAAACCTTCTCTGGAGGTTGTTCAGCAAAGGTTGGGTGACCATCCATTGGGAGGACTAGGGTGATGTCTTCCTCCAACTCTAGGATCCTGTCCATCCATTCCAGTATCTATATTATGGTCCTTGGGGTTCCTAGGGTTCTATGATTCTACCCATCTATTCAGATATCTAGCTAATGCTCTCTATCATGGATGGGCTTGGACTCTTCCAACTCTAGGAGTCAATGATCATCTGAGTAAACCTTCTCTGGAGGTTGTTCAGCAAAGGCTGAATGGCCATCCATTGGGAGGGCTTGGGTTGTTCCTTCCCTGCCTGGCAGAAGGGGGTTGGACTGGATAGCCCTTGGTCTCTTTCTACTCTGGGATTCTGTCCATCCATTCATGAATCTATATTATGGCCCAGGGGGTTTCTAGGGATTCTACCTATCCATTCAGATATCTAGCTAATGCTCTCTATCATGGATGGGCTTGGACTCTTCCAACTCTAGGAGTCAATGATCATCTGAGTAAACGCTGGAGGTTGTTCAGCAAAGTTTGGGTGGCCATCCATTGAGAGGACTGGGGTGATGTCTTCCTCCAACTCTAGGATTCTGTCCATCCATTCATGTATCTATATTATGGCCCTTGGGGTTTCTAGGGTTCTATGATTCTATCTCTCCATTCAGATATCTAGCTAATGCTCTCCATCATGGATGGGCTTGGAGTCTCTTCCAACTCTAGGAGTCAACGATCATCTGAGTAAACTCTAGGAGTCAATGATCATTTGAGTAAACTCTAGGAGTCAATGATCATTTGAGTAAACTCTAGGAGTCAATGATCATCTGAGTAAACTCTGGAGGTTGTTCAGCAAAGGTTGGGTGGCCATCCATTGGGAGGACTTGGGTGATGTCTTCCTCCAACTCTAGGATTCTGTCCATCCATTCATGTATCTATATTATGGCCCTTATGGTTTCTAGGGTTCTCTGATACCATCTATCTATCCAGATATCTAGCTAATGCTCTCCATCATGGATGGGCTTGGAGTCTCTTCCAACTCTAGGAGTCAATGATCATCTGAATAAACTCTACGAGACAATGATCATCTGAGTAAACTCTAGGAGTCAATGATATTCTGAATAAACTCTGGAGGTTGTTCAGCAAAGGTTGGTTGGCCATCCATTGGGAGGACTGGGGTGATGTCTTCATCCAACTCTAGGATTCTGTCCATCCATTCATGAATCTATAGTATGGCCCTTGGGGTTTCTAGGGTTCTCTGATTCTACCTATCTATTCCGATATCTAGCTAATGTCTCCATCATGGATGGTCTTGGATTCTTCCAACTCTAGGAGTCAATGATCATCTGGGTAAACCTTCTCTGGAGGTTGTTTAGCAAAGACTGGATGGCCATCCATTGGGAGGACTTGGATGGTTCCTTCCTGCCTGGCAGAAGGGGGTTGGACTGGATAGCCCTTGGTCTCTTTCAACTCTAGGATTCTGTCCATCCATTCATGAATCTATATTATGGCCCATGGGGTTTCTAGGGATTCTACCTATCCATTCAGATATCTAGCTAATGCTCTCTATCATGGATGGGCTTGGACTCTTCCAACTCTAGGAGTCAATGATCATCTGAGTAAACCTTCTCTGCAGGTTGTTCAGCAAAGACTAGATGACCATCTATTGGGAGGACTTGGATGGTTCCTTCCTGCCTGACAGAAGGGGCTTGGATTGAATGGCCCTTGGAGTCTCATCCAACTCTAGGATTCTGTCCATCCATTCATGTATCTATATTATGGTCCTTGGGGTTTCTAGAGTTCTATGATTCTACCTATCTATTCAAATATCCAGCCAATGCTGTCTTATCATGGATGAGCTTGGACTCTTCCAACTCTAGGATTCAATTATCATCTGAGAATACCTTCTCTGGTTGGGTGGCCATCCATTGGGAGAACTTGGATGGTTCCTTCCTGCCTGGCAGTAGGGGGTTGGACTGGATGGCCCTTGGAGTCTCCTCCAACTCTAGGATTCTGTCCATCCATTCATGAATCTATATTATGGCCCTTAGAGTTTCTAGGGTTCTGTGATTCTACCTATCTATTCAGATATCTAGCCAATACTCTCCATCATGGATAGGCTTGGACTCTTCCAACTCTAGGAGTCAATGATCATCTGAGAAAACCTTCTCTGGAGGTTGTTCAGCAAAGGTTGGGTGGCCATCCATTGAAAGGACTTGGATGGTTCCTTCCTGCCTGTCAGTAGGGGGTTGGACTGGATGGCCCTTGGAGTCTCTTCCAACTCTAGGATTCTGTCCATCCATTCATGTATCCATATTATGGCCCTTGAGGTTTCTAGGGTTCTATTGTTCTACCTATCCATTCAGATATCTAGCCAATGCTCTCCATCATGGATGGTCTTGGATTCTTCCAACTCTAGGATTCTTCCAACTTACCCAATGATCATCTGAGTAAACCTTCTCTGGAGGTTGTTTAGTAAAGACTGGATGGCCATCCATTGGGAGGACTTGGATGGTTCCTTCCTGCCTGACAGGAGGGGGTTGGATTGGATGGCCCTTGGAGTCTCATCCAACTCTAGGATTCTGTCCATCCATTCATGTATCTATATTATGGTACTTGAGGTTTCTAGAGTTCTATGATTCTACCTATCTATTCAAATATCCAGCCAATGCTGTCTTATCATGGATGAGCTTGGACTCTTCCAACTCTAGGATTCAATTATCATCTGAGAAAACCTTCTCTGGTTGGGTGGCCATCCATTGGGAAAACTTGGATGGTTCCTTCCTGCCTGGCAGAAGGGGGATGGACTGGATGGCCCTTGGAGTCCCTTCCAACTTGAGGATTCTGTCCATCCATTCATGAATCTATAGTATGGCCCTTGGGGTTTCTAGGGTTCTCTGATTCTACCTATCTATTCAGATATCTAGCTAATGCTCTCCATCATGGATGGGCTTGGACTCTTTCAACTCTAGGAGTCAATGATCATCTGAGTAAACCTTCTCTGGAGGTTGTTAAGCAAAGACTAGATGACCATCTATTGGAAGGACTTGGATGGTTCCTTCCTGCCTGGCAGAAGGGGGATGGACTGGATGGCCCTTGGAGTCCCTTCCAACTAGAGGATTCTGTCCATTCATTCATGAATCTATAGTATGGCCCTTGGGGTTTCTAGGGTTCTCTGATTCTACCTATCTATTCAGATATCTAGCTAATGCTCTCCATCATGGATGGGCTTGGATTCTTCCAACTCTAGGATTCAGTGATCATCTGGGTAAACCTTCTCTGGAGGTTGTTCAGCAAAGGCTGGATGGCCATCCATTGGGAGGACTTGGGTGGTGTCTCCCTGCCTGGCAGAAGGGGGTTGGACTGGATGGCCCTTGGAGTCCCTTCCAACTTGAGGATTCTATAATGCATGGAAATAGAAGCAAGTATTGAGTGCCCTGGATATATATGTACAGAAGGGTTGACTCATTGTGCCGCAGTTGGCCTTCTGCATCTTCCACGTGTCCCTATGATTCCGCTTTAACTTTTCCATGGAAACAATCTGTGGTATCCTGAGGTTTTAGGGAGAGTTCTGTGGGATTTTGGGTTAGAGAGCTCTAGCACCACACCACGAGACCACAACCATGATTCCTTAGGATGCAGATGTGGGAGCACTGCAATACCTACAGAGTTTGTCTTTGGCTTGACCACAATGTAAACATCAACCCTGGACCCTCTATATGCATCTGGAGGTGTGTGTAGACTGCAGAATAGATGCAGTTTGACACCACTTGAAGTGACATTCCAATGATATGCACTCCTAGGAGTTTTAGTTTGATCAGGGCCACACACTCTTTACCAGGGAAGGCAAACAATTGTGCAAAATTACAACTCACACAAATGCAATGTGACATCCTTTCAAATATCCATAGACCCATAGAGTCCAACCCCCTTATGCCATAAAGGAAGACACCATCCAAGCCTTCCCATTATCCCTCCCTCCAAGCATAGGATAGATAGATAGATAGATAGATAGATAGATAGATAGATAGATAGATAGACAGACAGACAGACAGACAGACAGACATAGAATGCAAAATTTGGAAGGGATCCCTAAAGGCCATCCATTCCAACCCCTTTGGACATAGAGAAAGACACCATCCAAACCCTCCAAACAGATGATCATCCAAACATAGGTATGACTCAGAAATAGACAGATAGAATCCAAGATTTGAAAGGGATCCCTAAAGGCCATCCAGTCCGCCCCTTCTGCCATAGAGGGAGACACCACCCAAGCCCTCTGAACAGACAGCCATCCAGGCAGAGATATAATTGAAAGAGGGCTCCTGCCCTCCTCCCTAGGAATTTCTTCCTTCTTTCCTTCTTCTCCCCTTCCTCTCCTTTTTTCCTTCCCTGCTTCCTTCCTTCCTTCTTCCTTCCTTTTCTTCCTTCCTTCCTTCTTCTTTCCTTCCTTCCTTCTCCCTTTCCTCGCCTTCCTTCCCTCTTTCTTCCTTTCTTTTCTCCTTCCTCTCCTTCTTTCCTTTCTTTTCTGCTTCCTTCCTTCTTTCTTTCTTCCTTCTTTCTTCTCCCTTTCCTCTCCCTCCTTCCTTCTTTCCTTCCTTCCTTCCCTTCCTCCTTTCTTTCTTCCTTCCTTTTCTCCTTCCTTCTTTATTTCTCTTTTCTCCCCTTCCTCTCCTTCTTTCCTTCCTTCCCTCCCTCCCTTTCTACCTTCCTCCCTTCCTTCACCTGCCAGGAGTGTGGAGGGCGACCCGCTCTTGGCCCCGAGGAGGACCCCCATTCCTCCTCAACTCGGGGCTCCTCTCGGGTCTTTTCCAGGGGGGGGGTCTCTTTGGCCCCTCCCCCTCCCTTTCCTTCCTTTTCCTCCCCGGAAAAGAGGGGGAGATCCCTTTGCGGCCGTCGCCGGGCGGCCTTTGTGAGCTCAGCGAGGGGCCAGGGAGGGGGGCTCCCCAAGGGACATGGCTAATGGGAAGGGCCCCCTCTTTACCATTATCCCTATGACTGCTACCATCATCATCACCATCGTCGTCATCATCCACCCTGACACTCTCACCCTCTCTGGCCCCATGATCTACACCGCCAGATAAAGCCCAGATTACCTGCGCTGAACTGGATTATATGGCAGTGTAGACAAATATAATCCGGTTCAAAGCAGATTATCAGGACTTTCTCTGGTGGTGTAGATCATGGGGCCTCTGTGTTGCCTGCTGTGCTTAATGTACACTCCTTTGGTCAATGTTTGTGTGCCAGGTCCTCATTCCCACTTGGTCCTCGTTTCCAGGGGGTCAACCACTTTGGGTCTCCTTTGGTGGAGAGAAAAGCAGGCGAGACATCCTCCTGACATTCACACTCAAGGCCAATCCTCCAGAGCAGGGGTCCTCAAATGTTCAGACAATTCAAGAGAGATATTGACAAGCTGGAATGTGTCCAGAAGAGGGCGACTAAAATGATCAAGGGTCTGGAGAACAAGCCCTATGAGGAGCGGCTTAAAGACCTGGGCATGTTTAGCCCGAAGAAGAGAAGGCTGAGAGGAGATATGATAAGGTAAAGGTAAAGATTGTCCCTTGACATTAAGTCCAGTCATGTCTGACTCTGGGGTGTGGTGCTCATCTCCACTTCTAAGCCGAAGAGCCGGCGTTCTCCATAGACACTCCAAGGTCATGTGGCCACTGGCATGATAGCCATGTATAAATATGTGAGAGGAAGTCATAGAGGAGGGAGCAAGCTTGTTTTCTTCTGCTCTGGAGACTAAAATGATCAAGGGTTTGGTGAACAAGCCCTATGAGGAGCGGCTTAAGGAGCTGGGCATGTTTAGCCTGAAGAAGAGAAGGCTGAGAGGAGATATGATGAGGGCCATGTATAAATGTGTGAGAGGAAGCCACAGGGAGGAGGGAGCAAGCTTCCTTTCTGCTTCCCTGGAGACTAGGACGCAATGGAACAATGGCTTCAAACTACAAGAAAGGAGATTCCATCTGAACATGAGGAAGAACTTCCTGACTGTGAGAGCCGTTCAGCAGTGGAACTCTCTGCCCTGGAGTGTGGTGGAGGCTCCTTCTTTGGAAGCTTTTAAACAGAGGCTGGATGGCCATCTGTCAGGGGTGCTTTGAATGCAATATTCCTGCTTCTTGGCAGAATGGGGTTGGACTGGATGATGGCCCAGGAGGTCTCTTCCAACTCTAGGATTCCAGGATTCTATGATACAGTCCTTTGGTCAATGCTTGTGCATTAGGTCTTCATTCCCACTTGGGTCTCATTTCCAGGGGGTCAACCACTTTGGGTCTCCTTTGGTGGAGAGAAAAGCAGGTGAGACATCCTCCTGACATTCACACTCAAGGCCAGTCCTCCAGAGCAGGGGTCCTCACACTTTTTAAACAGGCGGCCAGTTCACTGTCCCTCAGACAATTGGAAGGCCAGACTATAGCAGAGCACCTGATGAACCAGCCTGGACACAGCATATGATCTGAGAACACAGAAATGCTGGACCACTCTCACAACCACCATGTCAGGCTACACAGAGAAGCCATTGAAATCCACAAGAAGCATGTGGACAATTTCAACAGAAAGGAGGAAACCATGAAAATGAACAAATCTGGCTACCAGTATTAAAAAAAACTCAAAAATTACAACAGCACAACAACAGAGAGGAAACAAACAAGAACATCTAATCACCTCTCAACAAAAGATTGCTCCAGGCACTGCCAGGCAATCAAATCTAATCAAGGTGATCAGTTGAAACATTCACACCTAGCTCCAGCAGACAAGAGTTCTTTGTCCCACCCTGGTCATTCCACAGATATATAAACCCATTTCCTAGTTCCAACAGACCTCACTACCTCTGAGGATGCTTGCCATAGATGCAGGCGAAACGTCAGGAGAGAATGCCTCTAGACCATGGCCATATAGCCCGAAAAAACCTACAACAACCAGGCCAGACTATAGTTTTAAAAAAAACTGTGTTCAGATTCCTATGCACATTGCACATCTCTTATTTGGAAGTTCCGAAACAGGAACAAATACAATGGGTTGTTGTAGGTTTTTTTGGGCTATATGGCCATATTCTAGAGGCATTCTCTCCTGACGTTTCGCCTGCATCTATGGCAAGCATCCTCAGAGGTAATGTGGTCTGTTGGAAACTAGGGAAAAGGGTTTATATATCTGTGGAATGACCAGGGTGGGCAAAGAACTCTTGTCTGCTGGAGCTAGGTGTGAATGTTTCAACTGACCACCTTGATTAGCATTTGATTGCCTGGCAGTGCCTGGAGCAATCTTTTGTTGAGAGGTGATTAGATGTCCTTGTTTGTTTCCTCTCTGTTGTTGTGCTGTTGTAATTTTAGAGTTTTTTAATACTGGTAGCCAGATTTTGTTCATTTTCATGGTTTCCTCCTTTCTGTTGAAATTGTCCACATGCTTGTGGATTTCAATGGCTTCTCTGTGTAGTCTGACATGGTGGTTGTGAGAGTGGTCCAGCATTTGTGTGTTCTCGAATAATCTGCTGTGTCCAGGTTGGTTCATCAGGTGCTCTGCTATGGCTGACTGAGTTTAGAACCATTTTTTTTCTTGATCAACCAAGCCTAATTTGGATTATTACAGCAAGCTTTTGGAACTTTGTTATTATTCTTATGTTTGGACAGTTTATGTTGCTGCTTATTTGGCTTTTTGCTTTTGGACTTCTAAAGGTAAAGGTAAAGGTAGTCCCCTGACATTAAGTCCAGTCCTGTCTGACTCTGGGGTGTGGTGCTCATCTCCATTTCTAAGCCGAAGAGCCAGCGTTGTCCGTAGACACTCCAAGGTCATGTGGCCGGCATGACTGCATGGAGCGCCGTTACCTTCCCGCCGGAGCGGTACCTATTGATCTACTCACATTTGCATGTTTTCGAACTGCTAGGTTGACAGAAGCTAGGGCTGACAGCGGAAGCTCACGCCGCTCTCCAGAATCGAACCTGCGACCTTTTGATCAACAAGCTCAGCAGCTCAGTGCTTTAACCTACCGTATCACCGGGGGCTCCCGTATCATCTCTTTTATTGGCTCCAGTTATTATTCAAATAAAAATGACTCTTCTTTCATCCAAGGTGTGGTGTAATTAATCCATAGGGAGACCAAGGTGCTTGTCTGTAAAGCTATTGTCCTCCCAACCCTGCTCTATGCCTGTGAGACGTGGACTGTCTACAGACGTCACATGCAACTCCTGCAACGATTCCATCAGCGCTATCTCTGGAAAATCCTGCAAATCTCCTGGGAAGACAGGCGGACAAACGTCAGCGTGCTGGAAGAAGCAAAGACCACCAGCACTGAAGCGATGGTCCTCCAACATCAACTCCGCTGGGCCGGCCACGTTGTCCGGATGCCTGACCACCGTCTCCCAAAGCAGTTGCTCTACTCCGAACTCAAGAATGGAAAACGGGATGTTGTTGGGCAGGAAAAGAGATTGAAAGATGGGCTCAAAGCCAACCTTCAAAACTCTGGCATAGACACTGAGAACTGGGAAGCCCTGGTCCTTGAGCGCTCCAGCTGGAGGTCAGCTGTGACCAGCAGTGCTGCAGAATTCGAGGAGGCACGAGTGGAGGGTGAAAGAGAGAAACGTGCCAAGAGGAAGGCTCGTCAAGCCAACCCCGACCGGGACCGCCTTCCACCTGGAAACTGTGGATGCCCTCACTGTGGAAGAAGATGTAGATCAAGAATAGGGCCCCACAGCCACATGTGGACCCAAAGGGAAACCCATAATGGAAGACCATCTTACTCGTCCAACGAGGGATCGCCTAAGTAAGTAAGAAGTAAGGTGTAATTAATGATTAGAGGATACTGTTCCTGCCCTGGGTGCAACAAAAGGGGGATTTCTCCCCTGCAAGGGATGCATCATTATCTTGCAAAGCTAAGTGGATACAGCCTTGCAAGACACACCTTGCAAAGCTACATCTCCCAGGATCCCATCACCTTGAGCCACTGAAGTTCACATGGTGTCAAACTGCATCTTTGGAACCTCTCAGTCTTACAGCTCTTTTGTTGCAGCAAAACAATGCAAATGCTGGCCAATACTATGAATTTTACCTTCAAGAACCCCTCTCCAAGAAGCTCTGGGTCCTACAGCACCACTCTATAATCATGTTCCTGTTGCTACTAAGAGGTTGCAACATACTTTATCTAAGTTGCTGTAAGGTTCAAGGCTGTTTGTGCTACAGCTGTTTCAGTTAATTGAAGAGTTAATTGAGAGTAT